CAATGTGATTTAAATTTAGCAAACAAAATATTAGCCCAGCTTCTGTGGCATGGTCTGTGTCATACTGGACTGTGGAACTGGAAGCCACATGCCAACATCCTGCCCTATGCATATGCCCAGGATCCTGGAGTGATGGAGGGCTGAACTGGAGGTATAGGATTGTATTCAGAAAATTATAAAGATAAACAAACATTAAATATGATGATGTAAACAAATTAAAGAATATCCCATATTCATAAATAGGAAAATCAGATTATTATAAAGATGTCAATTTTCTCTTAAGTAGATCTATATAGTAGCCCCCTCTTTCTGTAAAGATACATTCCAAGACCCCCAACTGGATGACTAAAACTATATTTACTATGTTTTTTCCTATACATAAATATTGATGACAAAGTTTAATTTGTAATTTAGACATAGCAAGAAATAGTAACTAATACTAAAATAGAACAATTATAACAATATTCTGTACCAAAAGTTGTCATCTTTCTTTTTCAGAATATCTTATTGTTGCCTAGCTCTATGCTACAGTAGTAATTAGCTTCTCAAGAGAAGCCAGATTCCATATGGTGACTGCAGTTCAAATCCCTGGCCTGGAGACCAGCAGGTGGCGTAATGGCTATGTTGCTGGACTCCCACATAGTCGACCACGGTTCGAGTTTTGAACCCGGTGGCTTAAACTCACGCCGGGCACTTGCGCGTGCGTGCCCAAGATCCCAAGAGGAGAATGGAGGAGAAGGGATTGTGGCGTGGCCATCCCCCCTGGGGGGTGATTTCTCGCTTTCTATCTCTCTGTCTCTCTCTGTCTCTCTGGCGAGTGCACACCCCCTATAGCAAAAACCTCTCAAAAAAAAAAAAAAAAAAAAGCAAATCCTTGGCCTGGTCAGCCTGAAACATACTGGGCACATACATAAATACCCAAGATCCTATGGGTTGGAGAATTGGAGGAGGGAGAATCATGGTGTGACCAGACTCTATGGAGGGAGCTCTTTTCTCTCTTTTTTCCCCCACTTAAGTGTATGTGCACATAATCTATTATGAATTTTAAAAAAATTTTAAATATATTTATTTTAAAAAATATCTGTCTTATTTTACTGTACTCAACTCACCTATTTTTAGACCACGTTGAGTTTAAGTAATTGAAACCATGAAAGGTGAAACCACAGATAAGAGGAGACTACTGTAAATGCACTGCAATTCCTAACTTCCCAACAAGATTACATATGGACTTTGAAAACCTGATTCCAAATTTTATATGTAAGACTAAAGAGTCAGGTAGTGTCAAAATACTGTTGAAAAGAAAGAATGACATGAAAGTATCTATACTCCTAGATATTAAACTTCATCTTAAAACTGTCATAGTTAAGATAATGTGACACTTGGTGCAGAAACAGACCAACTAAAGGCACCATAAGATGGCGTAACAGAACAGTTATGTCACTAGATTCCCATGTAGCCAATCCTGGTTCAAATCCTAGACCCAGTGGGTTAAAACACATGCCAGGCACATGTGCATGCGTGCCCAAAATCCAGGGAGGAAAATGGAGGAGAAGGGATTGCAGCATGGCCATCCCCCCCTGGGGGAGGTGGAGACACCAGCAGAATAGAATAGAAAGATCTGAGGCAGATATAAGCATATATAGAATTGTAAATTTTTATTTATTTATTTATTTATTTTTACAGGGAAAGATTTTTGCTATAGCGCATGTGCTTCAGAGAGACAGTAAGCAAGAAATCACCACCCAGGAGAATGGCCACACCACAATCCTTTCTCCTCCATTCTTCTCTTGGGATTTTGGGCACACACACACACACATGCCCGGTGTGAGTTTTAAGCCACTGGGTCCAGAACTCGAACCATGGTTAACTATGTGGAAGTCCAGTGATATAACTATTACACTGTCTTTTTTTTTAATAGACCACAGATTAGTTTATTTTTAACACCCATCATGCCATAAATTCATAGGGAATAGGTTCCAGTAGCTCGGGCTCCTTTCCATTGTTTCTCACAAAGTGTGCTTCTCTGAGTGGAGCAGGCTGGCGCTTTAGTTGAACCCAGGTACCTTTCTCTTTGGCTTCTTTCTTTTTCTGGTCATTTTCCTTCACATGTTTTAGGAAGCTATCTCTGCTCTTAGAATGTTTAATATGCTCAATACACACATTGATTCTCTTGGCAAGAATCTTGCCCTTAACTTGTTTGTTCACAACAATGCCAACAGCATGCTGGGTAACATTGTACTCTTCCAGTTTTGCCATGGTAACATTTGTGGGGCATTCCTTTTTGAACAGTACCCATTCCCTTAATGTCTACAATATCACCTTTCTTGTAGATTCGCATAAATGCCGCCAAAGGAACCACTTCATGTCTTCTAAAAGGCCTAGAGAACATATATTGGGTGCCTCTCCTCTTTTCCTTTGTGTTCGTCATTTTGGTTAATTACTGGAAGATGGCGGTTCCAGCCAAAAGGACCATTACACTGTCTTCTGGTTCTGGAATTGTAAAATATTTTAGGACTAGCACTAAAGAAATCAGTTAATGGTGAGAAAATTAGTTTCCCAGTTGGAGTAAAATACAATTTCATTCATTCCTACCTTATACCACCAACTCCAGATGGATTAATGACTTGGATGTTAAAAGAAAACATTTAAAACATTTAATGGAAAATACCTTCTTGATCTTATGAAAGAGAGGTTTCCTTGACTAAGACAACAAAAGCATGAACCAAAAAAGAAAAGGTTGACAAGTTAGACTACTTTAAATTAAGAACTTTTTATCAAAAGACAACCTAATAAAAATGAAAAGATAATTTTTACTATCTAAATCTAAAACATATAATAAAATTATATTAATTATTCATAAAATTGTCCAACAATAACTTTTACACAAAATAGCAAAGATCAAACCTATACACAAAATCCAGGGCATGACATGAATAAAACTAAGCAAATATCTACTTCCAGCAACAGTTTCGATCTCATTATTTTTATGGCACACATAAATCTTTCATGCCAGATGGAGGTCAATAATGTAAATATATACATTTTTAAAAATTGGTAAACACTTTAACTATAGCCAATGTCTCAAGTAAATGATCTGATTTTTAATAATATATTAAACAGTGAAGATGGTAAGAAATCCAACCCATAATAATTTCATTAACATTAAATGACAAGAATTATTCAATAAATACTGAATCTTGTGGGGCACCAGGTGCTGTGGAATATACAAATAGCAGAGACAGTTTTTGCTCTGTAGGGTTACAATCTAATTAGCAGTAAAATGCAGATATAGAAAGATAAGTCAAATTTCATTGAAATCTCAAATCAATCTGTGTTCCTCCAGCTCCACTATTTCTAAGCTACTAAGATCTATTTCCTGAACTTCTGTGGCCTTTCCTAATATCGCTTGCATTCATTTCGTTCTATTACCATCTATTCACTATATTGTAGCTACAATAATCTTCTTGAAATTCAAGAGGGTCACTGATGCATTCTCTAGAGAAACTGACTCTAGACTCAGAAACAGCAGGTACTTGACTAAAAATAGGGATTTGTGTGCAAACCTATACTGAAAAATTAAATCCCAGCAGACTTCACCTAACCTGCCCCTGTAACTCTGTAAGTTAAGCAACTTCCTGCCCTTGGGGTAGTGTGAGGATTCTTTAGAAAACTAAATCAGAATATCCTTTGGATATTGATATTTGGAGGTTACTCCAAGAGAAATGCCAGCTTGCCAAAGCACCATTAAATGATGTTCACCGGGAGAAAAGCAGTAAGCTTTTTAGTGTCTCATAAAAATAGAAGCTATTACAACCAAAGACAAAATGCTATGAAAAGAAAGAAAGAGAACATGAAAAAGCTCCTGAACATTAAATACCATAATACCAGAAGTAAAGAATTCAATAGAAAGAGTGGAAGAGAAAGCTGAGGGCCAGCCCAGTAATTAAGGGAGCTGGGTCCTAGATGGCTGACCATGATTTTGCAGGATGTGTGCACCCCATCTGGACATGATTTCTTCCTCTCTCTCTCCCTCTCTCTCTCTTTGACTACCACACATGTACTTTTTAAGATTATTTATTTAATTTTATTTCTTCTTCTTCAGTTTGACCAGAGACCGAGAGAGAGAGAGACAAAGCAAGCCACCAGGTCCAGGCCTCAAACCTCAGTTAGCCATGTGGGAATACAACACTTCAACCACCACACCACCTGCCAACTCCTCAAAACGTATCTTTTAAAAGCCAATAACTAGTAAGAAATATTTGCAATACATATTATAAAGAGAAGATCAACAACTTTCATATTATAAGAAGCTCTTACAAAAGTCATCAACATAAAATAATGGGAGGCATGAACAGGAAATTAACAAAAGAAATATTACTGCCCAAGGCACACATAAAAAAACTTTCACCCTTCAAAGCAGTTAAAAACAATCCAACTTAAGGCCAACAAGTGGTGTGGTGGTTAAGGCAGTAGGTTATCACACGACCAACTGCAGTCTGAGTTCTGGACCTGGCGGCTTGAGAATCACACTGGGCAAATATGTGTGCATGTCCAAAATCCCAAGAGAATAGAGGAGAAGCATGACCATCATCCCAGGGGAAGGTTTCTCACTTTCCCTCCTCTCTCTGTCTCTCTGTCACTCTCTGAAGAACTCACACACCTATGGCAAAAACCTAAAAAAAAAAAAGAGTAGCATTATTTTAACCTACCAATTAGAAAAAGTTGGAGAAATGGATAATATCAATATTGTAAGGTTTTTAGAAAATGCATCGATATCAAGAGTGTAAATTGATTTATCATTTTGAAGAAAAGTTTAATAATATGAAACCGAACTTTAAATACACGCATGACATGTGATTCAGCAATTCCTGGTACAAATTGACCTTTAAGGAAGCAGTAACAAAATATAAAAGCATCAAGTTACAAAGGTATTATTTTGGCAAAATTTTCTCAGCACTCTTCTTCATATTGATTTATCAGAAACAATATAGAAACCTTACCTGAACTGTACGTCCTGCATTGATATGCTCTTCATGTAGCTTGTCCCATATTCTGCACCTTTGATACTACACAAAAGAAAATGGGAAAGGTACTGAAATTTTCAACACAAAAGATCATTTCTAGTTACCACAAAAATCCCTTCGCCTACCCTATTTTAACACACCAGCTAAAGAAGATAGCGATTTAGCAGTTGTAGTTAACTTTCCAAAGACCATACAAATAGAAAGAGTATTACATATAAAATTACAAAAATGGTAAAACACACAAAAATCACCAGATACAGGTTACTTCATTTTATTGGGAAAAGAAACTATGTATTTATTTCTATATTACACTTTCTGGAGATTAAAAAAAAATTAAAGCATAAGGGACCAGCAGATAGCGTAATGGCTATGTCGCTGAACTCCCATGTAGTCGACTGCAGTTCAAGTCCCGGACCCAGTGGCTTAAACTCACGCTGGGTGCATGTGTGTGCATGCCCAAAATCCCAAGAGGAAAATGGAGGAGAAGGGATTGTGGTGTGGCCATCCCCCCTGAGGGGTGATTTCTCGCTTTCTATCTCTCTGTCTGTCTCTGTCTTTCTGGCGAGCGCATGTGCTCTATAGCAGAAATCTCTCCAAAAAAATTAAAAATTAAAGCATAAGAATATAGGACCAGGCTCAGAGTCTAGTGGTTAAGGGAACTCAAACCCCAGCACAGCAGCTTAAAAAACAAAACAAAACAAAACAAAACAAAAAAACACTGGGCATGTGTGCATGTGTGCTTTCTCCCTTTTCCTCCCTGTTTCTCTCTCCGAGGAGAGCATGCACCCTCAGACAACTGAAAAAGAAGAAGGATATAAAAGAATGTGAAAAATTGTTTAACATCATTCATAAGATATTCTTACTACATACAAGAGGAATATTTACTATTTGACAGTGATAATGTTCAGCATTGAAAAGTAATACCTGAATGGGAACCAGCAGTTAGCGTAATGGCTATGTCGCTGGACTCCCACGTAGTCGACTGCGGTTCGTGTCCCGGACCCGGTGGCTTAAAACTCACGCCGGGCGCGTGTGCGTGCATGCCCAAGATCCCGAGAGGAGAATGGAGGAGAAGGGATTGCGGTGTGACCATCCCCCCTGGGGGGTGATTTCTCGCTTTCTGTCTCTATGTCTCTCTCTGTCTGGCGAGCGCACGCGCCCTACAGTGAAAATCTCTCCAAAAAAAAAAAAAGTAATACCTGAATTTAAAAAGTAACATTGATACTGCATACTAAACAATAAACAAAAGTGAGACTGGCCATTTAATATATATCTTTCAGTTTTTCCCAAAGCAAGGTTAAGCTTTCAGACTGTCATCTAAGAAACTTAATGAACATAATGGAAATTTTTTCATTTGATAGGAACTATACAAAAATATGATAACAATAGAAGTGTATTTATGTAAAAATCAACACAAATAGCACATATTTTTTATTGAAATTAAAAGTCCAAGTAATTAAAATGTTAACAGATGTAAATAAAAATATTAAACACATTTTTAAAATATGTCATAACAAAAAATCAATCTAGAAATAATTTGAAAGGACATAAATATGAAAATTGCCTATATCCGCATGGAAGAAAAAATAGATTATAAGAGGAAAGCATTGAAAAAAATTTCTAGGGCATTTTTCTGTTTTTGTTTATTTTTATTTTTTTTAGAGGTTTTTGCTATAGGGCGCATGCGCTCGCCAGTCAGACAGAGAGAGACAGAGAGACAGAAAGCGAGAAATCACCCCCCAGGGGGGATGGCCACGCCGCAATCCCTTCTCTTCCATTCTCCTCTCGGGATCTTGGGCACACACGCACACATGCCCGGCATGAGTTTAAGCCACCGGGTCCAGGATGCGAACCGTGGTCGACTACATGGGAGCCCAGCGACATAGCCATTATGCTAACTACTGGTCCCATTTTTCTGGGTTGTTTTTTTTTCCCTAAGGCATTTTTATAGTCTATGTTTTACATATTTTTAAAAGTTGGTAGTGAATGATGCAGCAAAAACTCTTGATAGTCCTAAAATGTTTACATCTAAGAACCAAATATTAACTATTAAGCTTTAAACTAACTTTATTGAAAATGTATTTACAAAATATAAATCTAAAACTACTGCCATTATAAGAAAATTTGAATTAATACCATCAGATCCAGTATGAATGCTTTAGATAACATTTTAATATTAATAAAAAGTTTGAGAATTAAAGCCAAAGATACAAGTTTGAAAATAAACTACTTTTAAATTTATTAATTAATACTAACCTGTCTTGATAGTTTAAGAAAAATTTGTTAAAAAAACAGAGTTGAAAATTTGTGGAGACCAAAGCTGCTAGAACTCATGAGGCAGAATATCAGAAAGGAAAGAGCTGAATAACAAGGAGAGATTGCGGTGAGAGGAGAAGACTACACTGGGAGAGAACACCAGGCATCTGCAGGGTTTTCCTTGTGTCCTCAGCACATGCATGTGAAGAAACTGCCTGAAGTCTGAAAAAGAACCACTGAACAGGAACAGGTGCAATAATCCCTAAAGATTACACAGGCCAGAAAAGGTTTATATGACCATAAGCAGAATGAAGTGGAAAGGGGCCAGCAGGTGGTATGGTGATGAAAGTACTGGATTCCCACATGGCACACCATGGTTCAAGTTCCAGACCTGGTGGCTTGCTTTCTTACTTTCTCCTCCCTTTCTCTCTCTCCCTCTCTCTCTCTCTGTCTCTCTCTGGTGAGCATGCGTGCCCTATAGCAAATTTTAAAATAATAGTAATAAATAAAATTTCAAAATGATTCTTTAAGGGACAAGCAGATGGTGTAATGCTTACATCACTGGACTCCAAAGTAGTCAACTAAGGTTTGAGTCCTGGACCTGGAGGCTTAAAACTCATGTGTGTATCGGTGCCCAAAATCCCAAGAGAATGGAGGAGAAGAGATTGAGGTATGGCAATCCCTCCTGGAGGGTGATTTCTTGCTTTCTGTCTCGCTGGCGAGCACATGCATCCTATAGCAAAAATTTCTCTCTCTAAAAAAAATTAAAAAATAAAAAATAAAAGATATTTTTTAAAAAATGAAGTGGAAAAACTTTAAATACACTGGATATCAGGTAGAAATCTCCAAAGTTTTGCCCATGTGGGTAACAATTGCTCCTGCTATGGTCCTGCACAGAAAAACTTACAAAAGCTCCTCAGAAGAGTAAAATCATTCCCAAGTAACCTCACTGTTTTGGAATAAAGCTTGAAAAAAGTATTTAAATTTCACAATGTCTAGCATCCAATAAAGAATTACCATATATGCAAAAAAGAAGAAAAGTATGATCTGAAATGAAAAAAAAAAATCAACAGAAACAGACCAGATATGACAGGAATGACAAAACTGATAGACAAGGATATTAAAAACAGTTATTATGATATATACCATGTAATCAAGAAAGTAGAAGAAAACATGAGCCTACTAAAATGATAAATAAAAGATGTTTTAAAATATTGAATTCCAAGAGTTAAAGAACAATATCTAAAATTAAAATGTATTAAATAGAATTAATAGTAGATAAGACTATGCAGGAAAAAAAATATTAACAAATTTAGAGACATGGTAATAGAAAGTATCAAAAATAAAGCACAGAGAAAAAAGATTAAAAATAGAGTATCAATGAACCATACACCAAAATTAAAACAACATAATAGATTCTGTGAGAAGACAAAAATGAAATTTGAAAATATTAATGACAAATTCTTCCAAATTTGATAAAAACTATAAACCTGCAAATCAAAAAAAAAAAAAAAACAAGAAAAATACTGATGTATATTATAGTAATATTATTTAAAATAAGTGATAAAGAAAGAAAGCTTAGAGCCAGGATTTTAATAAACACATGAATGCAGAGGAACAAACATAAGAATGACAGAATACTTTGCAAACCAGGAGACAGTTGAACAACACACTGAAAGAATCGGAAAACAATTTAAAAAACTCAACCTAGAATTCTATATTCAGAGAAAAAATATATTTTTAAAGCAAAATTAAAATATATTTTTTTCCAAGCATAAAATAGCTGATAGCATTCATCACCAGCAGAGAAGTGCACTACAAGAAATGTACTTCAGGGTGATGGAAAAAATGTTGCATAGAACACAAACCTAGCTCTATGAAAAAGGGTAAAGAATACTGAAAATAGTAAATATTAAACATTTTTATTTTTATTTTCAAAATCTCTTTAAAATATAACACTATTAAAAATAAAAATAACAGGGACCAGCAGTTGGCATAATGGCTATGTTGCTGGACTCCCACGTAGTCAACCACAGTTCAAATCCCAGACCCGGTGGCTGAAACTCACTCCGGGCACATGTGTGCGCATGCCCAAGGCCGCAAGAGGAGAATGGAGAAGTGGTTGCAGTGTGGCCATCCCCCCTGGGAGGTAATTTCTTGCTTTCTGTTTCTCTGTCTCTCTCTGTCTGGCGAGCACACGCACCCTATAGCAAAAACCTCTCCAAAAAAAAAAAAAAAAATTATAAATAAATAAAAACCTAACCCTGTTTTTTCACACTATGATCCCCTAACCCGGTTTTTCAGGATTTTGGGTACCTGGAATGTTCTCAGGCCAACCCAGGGATCTGGACGTGCAGTTGCTGTATGGTTTCCAGCCTTGTAGCGCATTTGTGTTACCATGATGCCACAATAACTGGCCCAACAGGAAGTATTTCTTTACTTCCCTTTTATTTTCTTTTCCTTTCTTTCTTTTCTTTCTTTTTTTTTTTTTGTTTAAGTTTTTGCCATATGGTGTGTGTACTCACTGGAGAGAGACAGAGTAATACAGAGAAAGTAAATAGCAAAAACCTCTCCAAAAAAAAAAAAAAAATTATAAATAAATAAATAAAATAAAAATAACAATAATTAGGGGTTTAATAATACAGGTAGAAGTAAAATGTATAACAACACTAGTAAAGAGATCTGGAGAAAAGAAATGGAAGTATGTTGTTAAGATGTTTTAGGGGGACCAGCAGATGGAATAACAGTTATGTCGCTGGACTCCCACGTAGTCGACTGAAGTTCAA